CATTGGTGACCCAGGCAGTTATACAAAACTTTTGAACAGTCAGAACTTATCAGCTGGATTTCTTCCTTCATGCCAAATTTACAGAAGAGGAAATATCCTATTGAAAAGTTTTAGTGGTTTTCTATGAGCACGAAGTGGGAGTAGTTTTATGTAATAAATTCCATGGTAGAAAACAATAAGTCACTGCAACCATTTTATAAGGGTTGCATTAGATTTTTAGGTGTTCTATGGATCACCAAAATCTCCAGACACAAAACCAATTATTGCAATAACTATATTACCAATGACTATATTAAACTAGATAACACAAGAGAAAAGCTATTTTCGTCACTGCCATAGCTGACATTTTAACAAACTAAAATGTTCAAGATTATTTTCTATAGCGCCATTCATGTGTTGACAGAACTTCGTGTCAAGCAGAAGCTCGCTGTGGCTCCAGGTGAGGGCAAGAATCTAGCAATACGGAACAAACTGCAGATCAAGGCCTAAGATACCTGAATTTCCAAAAATCACTATAGTGAATAATTCCAATAGCTTTTTTTTTTTAATGGCAATTTTCCGCCAAGACATTAAGCAAACTCCCATTAAGAACAAGCCATGAGAGAGTCACAAATTAATTTTTACAACTAAGGGATCATCATACAAGAATGGTTTAATGTGAAATTACGGATAACTGATATATATGTTATGCTATTGCAATTATTTTTACCTGTTATGACAGGATCAATATCTTACTTGAAAATAAAACTTCAGCTTTCTTAGCATTTATTTTCTTGTAGTAGCAGACCAACTTCCTTTCCCTAGACTCCCCAAACATGTTCCTATTTCAATAGCATTGGGTCAAATTCAGCCCTGACACAAATAGATGCCATGCCATTTAATTTCCAGAACTGAATCTGGTCCAACATCTTTTCACTTTCTGATGTAATTATCATTGCAAAGATAAGGTAACTTTTCAACCATCTGTATCTATACAACTTTCGGCCAAGATGTACTAGGTAAACAAGGTTGGGCCAGGCCATTACTTTGATGGGAGACCGTTTTATATTTTATCAGATTGCTTCTGGTTATTGTTTCACATCTCACCCTAATCCTTAACATCAGTGACAATTTTAAAATAAATAAGCTTGATTTGGCTAATTACATTCTGCCCACATAAAAGTTACATCTGTAGTTGCAACTGGAAAAGAAATTAGTTTCTTGACCTAAACTGCTGTATGGTACTGCTGATTTTAATCTTACAAGGGGATTAATGGTGGATGAAGTGAGATTTACACATAGCAATATACAGTGGCATCCTGTGAAGTCTTCACATTTGCTTTTGCAAGTAAATGTTACTATAGTATTCCCTATATTAAATAAGCTATACACTGGAAAAGCTGTTCCAAACCTGCAACTCAGAATGACATTAATTTGAGGGGCAGTGATGTTACACTTCAATTATTTTATTTTTGCATATTATTTTAAATGGGAAAGTAAACACTTCATGGAAACAAATTTTTTTGTATTTGTACAGAATCTACCTCAACAGTACCCCAATTCTAACTAGGGCCCTAGAGCACTACCACAATAAAAATAAGACGTTTCCTTGGTGCCGTACCAGTATTGTTACTGGCGAAGCCAGTGAGGAAATTGAGTGACTGACAGATTCCCTCCAGTGTGTGTCCCCTATTGAAAATTCCAGGGGAAGTGGGCGGGTGTAAGCCCACCCACGGCTAAAAGACCCTCCCCCAGCCTTTGGGGAGGACCCACTGAGACCAGGAACTAAACTGATTACGGGGGACAACAAAAAAGAAAACAAGGGCATGTGTGAAGGTCATAGGTCAAAAAGAGAGAACTTAAAGGGGACACTGAGCAGAGAACCCCAGACAGCGCCCACTGCCCCTTGAAGGTGTCAAGGGAGCCAGCGGATGCCGCCCAGAGGAACTCCACCCAGATGCGTGAACGGAGGGAGGACTGGAAATAGGCCCCCCAGTCGCAAAGAACCCCCTCAGCCAACCTTCTCTCCCTGGTGTTATAGATGGCCACAGCCAGGAGGAGGCTGACGAGGAGGCCCCGCGATTTCGTGTGGCCACGGATAGGGTGTGCGTAAATGAGAAGATGGGGGAGAGAAGTGCAGCCAAAAACTTAATAAAAGATTGAGGAGCTGGAATAGGAGCTGTAACCTACCACACTCCAGATAAACGTGCACCAGGGTCTCCCTCACGCCACAGAAGGGATAGGCATTAGGGACAGGTGAAATGCGACAAGTACACACCGGTGCTCACGGCCAACCAATATCCCGGGTGTGTGTGGCGCATATTTGTAAGGTTTGTACATAAATAGGAAAAATTGGGAATCTGCATAAAAGAAAGAACAGACTAAAAGGCAGAGAAGAAATTATGTCCAACAATCTTCAATGAGTGCCTACAAGTTTGATGTTTAAACTTGGGCAAAGGTTTCAGTTTTTGAGACCAGAGATATTTGCTAATTAGTCCACTGTTAGGTTCAGAAACAGCTTCTCCCTATATGTGTATTTGACCACAATGTTTGTACAGTCCCCTTTTTCATCTTTTTTCACACAGCAGAAATGGAGAACACACTTATTAAAAAAAAAAAACTTAAATTGCAGTTGTAAGACAACAAAAAATTGGCAGGGGGATTCAGGGACAAGCGCTGTACCTGAAATCAGTCCAGTGTCAAAAATTTCAAGTTGAAATAGAGATCTGTTTAATGTCAGTGGTTTGCATCTGGCCCAAGATGATACTGACTGAAAACTCCTATCCTTTGAAAGATGGCAGTTTATGGTAAACAAGTTTGTAATTTCAATCCAGTTCCCTTGCTAGCAATCTGCACACAGAAATCAAATACTCTATAGTGACTAAGACTGAAATAACTTTATATCTACAGACAGGGAGCCCCTACACCTTAAAGAAATAGGCACATTTATCAGGAAACTTGCATTGCAACAGTCTGCACTATACACTGTGCTACCAATGAACAGTTGAAATCCCCAAAACTACCGAGTCAATTGCTTTCATTAATATTTACATTTAAAACTAATTTTTAAAACTTTAAACTTGAACCATGGATTTTATCAGGTGCTTTATCATGTAATTATATAAAAATGATCTACAAAAGTCAATTGGGTTACTATTTGTTAAAAAAGAGAAATGAAGTAAAAACATTACAATATTTATTTTGCTACTGCTACATCTCAGAAATCCCCAAATCTTGCAACTAGCACTTTCAAAGCTGTGGCATAATCTATCTCCTAGCTGGTAAAGGAGGAGCTACCTGAAATTCACAAAAAGTATTTACTCAGTGTAAACAGTAGTACTGAATCTACTACCATCAGCTCCATACCATAATTAACTTTGAGAGTAACTCTTTTCTAACTAAGTAACTTTTCATTCACTGCAAAAATACTTAATAACCAGAGTAAATACCGGTGTCTAGTTTAAAATCTAAATTTATTAAGAAATTTATGGGTTACAAGGAATTATGGGTAATATCCTTCCAAACTTATTTCGTTTAAAATACTTAGCACTGACTTTGGAACCACTAAAATTTCTAAACAAAGATCCTCCAGAGTTTGGGAATTTGCAAAAGGGAAACTAAAGCGCGAAGAAATTAAATATTAAAGGTTTCAAACAATCAGAACAGGATTAAATTACGGGCAAACCACTTGAGTTCACTCACGCAGTCACCCACATGGTTTGCATAAACTCAGGAATAAAAAGACATTATCCTGTTTTAAACCTCAATTTGGTTGTTCGGCCCAGCAAACTGTAATACGACTACAAATCCACTCTCTTAAATGCCCACCTCCCTCCCTGCCCAGAGTAAAAGGACGGGGACAGACCACACCTCTCCACGCTCATTTTCCTAATCTGTCCATGCATGTAAAATAAGTGTGTGTGAACGCGTCGACGACTCTTGGAAACAAATACCTTGGCCTGACACACGCCGAGGCGCCGGCGATTTAAGGCAACCGCTGCTACGTTGTACAGCAAAGGGACAGTGTGTTTAAAAAAAAACAGTTCCCAACCCGGACAGATTCAGCCAGCGGCAGCGAAACTATTTTCCCGTCGGACTCTGGGAGCGGCTCTCCCAGCTAGTCCTCCCCAACCCCGCCCGGCTCCCTTCCCCCCGCCCCACACCTGAGTCCGGCAGGACGAGCTGGGTGTCCGCTGCTGCCGGGGACGGGCTGTTGGGGATAGGTTTTCTCCTGATCCAGGGGTTTTCCTTAGGCAGGGGGGCCTCCACCACCTGCCGCCGTTTCTCGTCCTGCCCTGGGGGATCCGCCTCTCGGCTACCGCTGCTCTCCCCGGTTTCATCCACCTGCGGCAGCACCTGGCTGGGCTCCGGCAGCTCCTGTCCCGTCTCCACCAACTCCCGGGAGCGAGTCTGTCCCGAGCCCCCGCCAACCTGCTGCTCCGGGGGCGCTACGGACACTCGGGCGGCTGCGGACATGCCGAGGGGCCGGGCCGCTGCCGGCCCCCCAGGCTCCAACGGGGATGAGGCGGTAGCTGCGCGGCTCAGGCGTGGTGACGGACCGACTGCGCTGGGGAGCCGTCTTCTCCGCTCGGCGCCGCCCGCCGGCCCCGTCAGGTCCCCCGGGGTGGGAAGGGATCGCTGTCAGCCTTCCCCGCCCCCCCAGCCCGGCCCGCGGCCGGCGTCGCTCATTCACCGCGGATGGTTCAACTGCCACGCTCCGCTCCCCGCCTGATACTGAACCGCGGGGCGGGGGGCGTCTCTGCCGCTCCCTCCTCCCGGCCCGGCTGTTCCCTTACAGAGCCGCCGCGGCCTGCCCGGCCCCTGCCTCGCCTGTGGGGGGGCGGAGACAGCGGCGGGGACGAGGAGGGAGATGAGAGCGGCAGGCAGCGTCTGTAACACCAACGCTAGGGTAGGGCGGAGCCTCCGGCCACTCCAGTGCGTTATGACCTCACAACGGCCGGCGCCGGAGCCCGGCAGCGCGTGCCTCGTCTTCGGCCCGCGCGTGCTTCCGGCGCTCTAGGGCGGAGCAGCCAGTAGCGGCCCCCGATAGTGTTCGGGTTGCAAGGGTCCGCCCGCCCTACAGCTGTGATAAGGTAAACAGCGGGCCGCGTCATCTTCGGGAGAGGAGGGATTGAGCCCCATCCCGCCTCCTCTGAGGCGTGTTGCTGCGGTAGGTGTAGGGTGCAGTCCGTGCCCGGCGAGCCCCTGCCCGGCAGTGCCAGAGGACGGGCCTGCCCTGATCCTTCCGTACCCCGTGATTCATGGGAGCGGCGCTCCCCAGAGGAGCAAGGAGGGCCATACGCTCTCTCCTGAAAGCACCAAACACTTCCTGGAATACCCACCGCGACATGGAAACAAGGCTCGCTTCGCTCCAGGAGCAGATCTGTTCCCCCGCTACTAGGTTCCTTTCGCCAACCCAGCGAGAGGCGCTTGGTGGTGTTAAGCTGAGCGCATTGACGTGTCCGTTTGTTACGACGTTAGACCGACCCACTAAGACTGCCTACTCAGCGCTGACAGGAGAGGAGCTAAACTAATGGTTGTATCTTCAGAGGCACCGAGACGCTGGGCTTCCCCCATTTAAGCCCCAAGTCTGCAAAGCGATTCACAGGGGAGCGCCCTTTGGCTTTTTTCTTTTGTGTCCCACTGAAGTCGATAGAAGTTCCTGGGGTCGCCTGCATCTGCCGTCCTAGCTCCGACAGCAGGGCCCCATTTGCTTTGTCAGCACCTCGCCTCCTCGGGAAGTTTTGACTAAACTTATCCAAAGGCTGTGCTAAAACCATGCTGGACTGATACGCAGTGAGCTCGGCCGTAGGGCAGGGCTTTAAAAATGAATCCAATTCTGATTTCAGCTTTCCTATTTTCACTTTCAGAGCTTTCCCCCATTTTGATGCAAGACTGTTACCGGGCTTCTTTGCAAACAGCTTGATATTAGAAATCTGCATCTTGTGTTATATGGTAGGTAGAAAATAAGGAAGGCAAGCAAGATTACATTGTATCATTTTATCTCTGAGCCCCATCATATGACCTGTGTATTTAGTATCAGCTACAACAGCTATATAATGGAAATATTCTGTACCTTTCTGTTAATTTTTCACTTTGTCCTTCTGTGGTGCTAGTTTAGGTTATGCCCTAATTTAAGTAATATTGCAATAGTACCCCCATCAAGCTATTAAGCCATGCAGTCCCTCTAAAATCTCCTTCAATTGCTTTTATAAGATTAGTGCTATCAGTATTTTTTTTGTATCTTTTCCTGTCAGTGACCAAGTGGTGACAAACAGTAGTTTCAGGAGCATTTTTAAATTTCCACAATTGTTAAGACTGTTAGGTATGACTTTTGCACCCAGGTTTAAAAAAAGATGCCTAAGATCCCTGTCCGACACTTAAGATGATTGCAGTGAGAAATTCCCATTTTTTAATTTGTCTCCGACCAACTAAATTGTCATATTTCTCTGTAATCTTGGATGGTAGCTTCAGCAGCTTGAACTATATTTTCCATTGTTTGATAGTATGAACCGGGAGTGCATAACACTATACAGATGTCGGTTTGAGTGCTGAAAAAACCGTCCACTTTACACTGTTTTAAGTGAATATAAAAATCACACCAATTTCCACATCAGCTGTAGGCAATTCTGGTATTTAGACAAGATTAATGTGAAAGGATATTTTTAATCACTTTATCAATGTATCCAAGTACATTGATATAGGTTGTTGTTTGGAATTGATGTTCTGCTGGAAGCCCATAAATATATATTTTAGCCTTGGCCTCCAGTTAAGAAATCTAATTACTAAAGTTTGCAATTTCTGCAAAGGTTAATCTAACTCAGGGGTGGGCAAACTTTTTGGCCTGAGAGCCACATCTGGGTATGGAAATTGTATGGCAGGCCATGAATGCTAATGAAATTGGGGGTTGGAGTGTGGGAGGGGGTGAGGGTTCCAGCTCGGGGAGTGGGCTCTGGGGTGGGGCATGAAATGAGTTCAGGGTGTAAGAGGGGCTCTGAGCTGGGGCAGGCAGTTGAGGTGAGGGGTCTGGGGTGGGACTGGGGGTTGGGGGTGCAGGAAGGTGCTCCAGGCTGGGACCACAGTTTGGAGGACTGGGGCAGGGGGTTGGGGCCCGGGAGTGGGACAGGGATGCAGGCCCCAGGCAGTGCATACCTCATTGCCAGGTGGCTCTGTGCATTGCTTCATCTCCAGGTGCTGCCACTGCAGCTCCCATTGGCTGTGGTTCCTGGCCAATGGGAGTTGTGGGGGCCGTGCTTGGGGTGGGGGCAGTGTGCAATGACCCCTGACTGACCCTATGTGTAGGAGTTGGATGGGGGGATATGTGGAGCAGGGCAAACCCTGGACCCCGCTCCCCGGCAGGGGCTCCAGGGCCCTAGTTTGGCCACCCCGATCTAACTGATCCAATTGTTACAGGCTTCTGAATTCAAAATGCACTTTCATATACTACAATACATGGATCAGTCCCAGATCCTGCAGGAACCATTGTTCCTACCGTTTTATCTCACCACTGATGAGGGGTAGTTCCTGTTTTCTCCAGGCTTCTTTGCTGTTCTTTGCTCCCATTGATGCAGACTCTTTTTTAGGCAGGATGTTTTCAACAAGTGGTTCTTGGACTGTGAAGTTTCTTGCATTGCTTTGCTAGAGTTTGAGTTTGTTGACAAAGTATTCATAAGCATGTGATCAGTATACTTACAAATAGGCCAGACCTAGGGAAAACCCTCTCATCATGGCATGTTCCAACACGATCAGGTAACATCTGACAACCTTTTGATTCCTGGCTCTCTTTATACACTTCAGCTAACTTTCTGATTTTAGCAGAAATCCAGGTTTGAAGCAGATATCCTTGACACTTTCCTTCCTCCAAGGCCTTCCTTTCTTACCTCCTCCCCCCCTCCTTGCTTACCAGGAGAACAGTCAAAGTTTATGTATGCTTGTATCTTAAGACAGTTTTCCTTTGTCTTACTATTCTAGCTTTTCATTTTATCAAGTACTTTTTGAACTGTACATCTTTCCCACACTGTAAATATTACCTATTATTCTGATGGTCTTCTTTTACTTGCTGATTAGCACCTTTTCCATACTAACCCCAAACCATAAAACAGATATTAGTCTCTTAACCAAACTTAAGCTAACTTTATTTCATAACTATCTTTACATAACTTTTTTACTACTATTGAATTTAACAAAGTGAGAGACTTATTCATGGAAAAAATAAAGAAAGATTACTCGTAGTCAGTTATTTACTGTCCCTTAGAACAGTGGTTCTCAAGCAGGTTTCGGGGGGCCGCCAAAATAAACCAGAGAGCAGGGCCAGAATTAGACCCACTGGGGGGCCAGAGCAGAAAGCCGAATCCTGAGCCCTGCTGCTCGGGGCTGAAGCTGAAGCCCGAGTAGCTTAGCTTCATGGGCCTGATGGGGCGTGAGGCCTTGGCCAAGGGCACCAGAATGGGATGGGCCACGGGCCTCTCTGTCACGCCCACCCAGGCTGGCAGCTGGAGCCTGGCTGGGGAGCCTGGGCAGCATGTGATGCTGTGCTGCGGACCCTCCACCTCCACAGGGTGGGGCTGACAGCAGCCCCTGGCCCCCCGGCCCAGGGCAGGTGGAGGGTTTGTGTTGCAGCTCCCCAGCTCTTACCATGGCCAGGGTGTGGCTCCAAAGCCCTGTCCTCCAGCCATAGCGGGGTTGGAGAGGGCCACGCAGAGAGCTGTGGGGAGCCACACACCCTCCACCTGGCCTGGGCAGAAGGCCTGCAGGGCGGGGACACTGCTCTCAGCCCGCTCTGGTTTGCCTGGGGCCTCAGGCATAAGGGGCTCCACTACTGCTGGCTCTGAGTAATTGCTCTGCTTACTACTCCATCAGACCTGGCTTTTAAGCTACTGAAAAACAGCTGTGGCATGGGTGGGCCATGGAATTTTTATAGCATACTAGTTGGGCCTCAGAAGGATAAAGGTTAAGAAGCCCTGGCCTTACATCATGCTGTTAGAAGATAATGGATATTATGGTTAAGGTACTGGATTGACATTTCAGAGATCTGGATTTATTTTCCAGTTCTTCCACAGACTTCCTGTCATTTAATTACTTTGTACCTTAGTTTCCTATCTTTATAATAATACTTCCTTCTAGGCTTTGCCAGGTCTATTTAGACTGTCAGCTTTTAAAGAAAAGACCTGCCTCTTATGTTACCTAACAAAAGAGGATCCAGTCTCAGATGGGAGCTCTACAGTAATATAAATAAGTTAATATAAATGTTTCCATTTACCATGATGCTTGATACCTACTTAATAAGGGTTTTCCCACCTTTTTCCCTTGGTATTAAACTTACTAAGAAATTTTCCCCCAATAATAAAGTTATTACTAAAAGGTAAACTCAAGAAGGTAGTAGGGAAGAGTAGATGACAAAGATTTATCAATAATAGTTTCCCTCACTTTGGAATAGTCTCTAACAGATGCCCCACCACTGGAACTGCATGTACCTTAGAGGCAGTAATTGTCATACTCTGAGCCCCTTATGCTTGGAATACCTAATTCCCCATTTATTTTCCTTGCCTTCATAATGCATATGTAAGAGTACATTTTAAAAGCTGGCAGGAAAGTGTAGATCTTAGTTTTTCATTAAATGCTACCAGTCAGTTACTAGGTTGGTAATTTTTCATCACTCATTTCTCTCCTCTAGTAACTAGCCACCCACAAGGCAGACATACTTGTTGGCATATTGTAATGACAAGTCTTCTTGAAGTAGGGAAATATGGGTGGACAGACAATTTACACTAAGAAAGGGGCAGTAGACTAGCTACTCTCTCTATTTCAGCATAGGACCATGGCAACAATAGCTTCCAAATCTCCTCCTCGTGGTTGATCTTCTCCACCTCCTTCCTTGCTTTCAACCCTAGTTCTGTATCAGATTTCCTTATTTTTCTTGCTACATCTGGCTTTACTACTGAAACAGCTCAACTGGACACATCACTGATGAGGAAACATCAGACTTACCACAGTGGTAGCTTCTTGCAACTTGTACTGAATCACAAGATTGGACCAGAGAAAATTAATTACAGACAGCACCTATGGGGGGGGGGGGGCGCAATCTAATCTGGGATGTAGGAGTCCGAAGCATCTCAAAACTGGAGTAGACTGGGTGCTGTAGCTGATTAACAGTTTCAGGGAAATGTGAGGTGCAGAGGCCCTGTCTATTAACTGTGAAGCAGGGAGTTAGCTCTAGCTCAGTTTCCTCCTCCCCTCCCACAAGGGCTATGTGGAGATAAGGAAGTAAAGCCGTAGACTGTTAAGGAACAACATGGTATAAGAACCTGAATAGAACCAGAAAGGAAGTAGGAAAATGCTTAAGAGAATATAATTGAGTGTTATTTTTTAGATTATATGCTGTCTACACTTCCTTAATGAAAGCAATCAACAGTATGTGCACTACTGCAATCTAAATAATATATTAAAGTAAGTTATTTCATTATACATTTTTATTTTAGAATCTAAGTTATTTTTCTAAATTTGGTGTGTACCAGTGGGAAGTGAGAACAGAGCACATTATACAAAGATCTCAGACCACCATTATAGTGGGTCATGGCAATATTACATGATAGTGGCATTTTATTCATATTTCTGACAATCACTAATGCATGTGATTACATAGCTAGAGAATATGTAAACCTCCTTTCCAGTTCAAGCTGACAGAACCTGCAAAATTTAAAATAAAATAGAGCCCTGCCACGATCAGTTTGTACTAACTGTAAATAATTTAATCTGTTTTAAAAAAGAAAACCCAAAAGAAGTGCTGAATTTAGTGGGTTGACAAAGGCCATTAAAGTGATTGTAATGCCATGGTATTAAGTCAACGTAGTTTAATAGACCAACACAATTTTAACTTTATACACTAATCTTTCAAAATGATGATAGGCTATGAGGGCAATAAACCATTTCAGTGGAATAACAGTAAGATCTCATTAATTCAAGAAGTCACCACTCCTCTGTGGTTTAAATACTGATTCTGTAAGATTAATGTAAAACACAGTACAATTTTCCTTTTATTAAAGAATGGAAGTGGCTGTTTTTAGTTACATATCCAAATCTTGATTTGATTGTACAGAGAAAAAAATCTACAAAACTTGTATCTTACAGAATGATTATATCTGTTTTATCACAGCAACTTTTAGGAAATTGCAAAAGACTAAGGAATACAAAATATGTTAGATTTTTTTTATATAACGTTTCCATTTTTGATATTTTACTGCAAAAAATAGAAATGTGCACTAGCTGCTTGCATTGCAGGTAATTCTGAACATCAACTGCTGTCCCACAGCTTTTTTTTTTTTAAATTCTCAATGGATTTAATTAGTAATTTAAACAAACATGAAAGTCAGATGCCTTTATTCCCCATGATAAATTTACACCTGATGGCTCCAGTCTACAATTTGATCTGTGCTGATGGATTCCCTGCACCTGTGTGGAGCCCCACTGATTTCACTATACAGAGACATAACTGTCTCCGTGACACTAGAACACTTTTTATGGGGGGGGGGGGATGTTGAAAGCCAGCTAATGAAACTGTAAACCATGTATGTTCAAAAGTAAGGTGAAAAAAGCACAATTCCTGCTCACACCACATGTGTGCAGCATAGCTTTGGGATTCTCAAGAATAATGAAATACTATTAGCTTACACCACCAGCAAACTTTTCACAGTGAAAGCTGGGGGTGCAAGAGCACCTGCCAGACCCATAGTTCCCATGGCTATGAACTGTCCACCCATCCAGTCCAGCTTGCAGGATTATAACTTTAATAACCAGTTAATCTTTGATCACTAGAGAGGGAAAGTTCCATAAATCACTTCCAAGGAAGCAAGATCCCAACCTATTTAATCGTAAGGAAAAGTTTACAAAAAAATGAAAAGATTAATAAAAAAAATCAGCAAACTTTGCATATAGTAACAATGTATTCCATACTATCACAGCTCAGGACAACTGCAACTGTATTTCCCCTCAGTGGTTCAGCAAGGACACCCACTTTTGGCTTCCAGCTACCCAGCTGTTGCCTCTCTTGGGTGGAGTCACATGTCCCTCTCTTTTCTGACAGGGGTATTTCCAGGCTGCACAGTTTTCTGCCTTCACTGTGTATTTCCCAGCACAGACAGATTGCAAAGGGCACCTGCTTGCTTTGTCTTCAGAGACTGATAACAGAGTGATTGTCAACAATTGTAAGTTACCATGCAGCACTTCCTACACAAGCTTACTTTACTCTTAAGGTAAAAGAGCATTACAGAAAAAACATACTAAAAACAAAACAATAAAAATCCACACACATGCTAATAAGCTTGCCAGAATTAACCTCAACCTTAAAATGCATTCTGGCAGCCTCCATCCTTCCAACTCTACCCTCAGGATTGGGATCCTCCATGGAGCAGGGTTTCTGCTGGATCAGACAGGAGACCATGAGCCAGTTTAAAATGGCTTTTTAATCCAAAAATCCTTTGTCTACTGATCCTTGGTGAATCAGTTTGTACTAGCATATGCATACCTTTCCAAGTGAGTGGCTTCTCTGGAGATGTTACAATCTGAGTGAATTTGCCTAGTCAACTTTCTGTTCTCCTATTTACCCTTCTTACAAAAATACATACAATTCCACAACACATACACACGTTGCATTTTTAATACAATGAACTCTAAAGATGGTAAAATTAATTCAATAAGGTTTAACTTAATTCAATAAATTTCATTTAGGATATTGCAGGAAATTCAGTCTGTCACACATACTTCTAAAATAAAGTAATTGTTATGGTTCAGGGCAAGCTGTATCTAGCCTCCCTCCCCCACAGGCACGCTGCCGCATGGGCAGTACTCTGGGCAGCAGGGCTGCGCTCCTGCAGGGCAGCGCAGCAGTGTGTCTGGCTCCAGCCGAGCGGCGCGACTGCCAGACATGCTGCTCTGAGCAGCATAGTAAGAGGGCCAGGGGGTTGGATAAGGGGCAGGAGGTCCTGGGGGGCAGTCAGGGGACGGGAGTGGGGGGGGGTTGATGGGGCGGAGGTTCTGGGGGGGCAGTCAGGGGACGGGAACGGGGGGGGTGTAGGATAAGCGATGGGAGTCCCGGGGGGCCTGTCCGGGGGCAGGGGT